TGTCGGAAAAATTTTTGCTGATCCCGAAGCCGGTTTTAAATTTTTGCCAATTAGCCCGATTTAGCAAGCTAGGCTGCAAAATACACTCTTTTTCACCATTTCCCATAAAAAATCAGAGTTCGACCACCGGCACTTTTTTTCGATTTAACGATTTTCAAGAATTTTTGGCTTTATTCGCTCCGTCGATCCCGAAAATTGCCTGAAGACGAAGGCGAGATCTTTTTGGCAAAACCTTCTTAAATGTTCAAAATAATTGACCTTAAGGTTCGGAAATTTTGAGAAAAAGGCACTTTAAAACGTTGTTTGGCAAAAACCTTTCGATTGGGTTGTTTGGCAAAAAATAGGAAGCTATTAGGGAAACAGCGTTAAATTCTGCACAATATAGGCACTGTTCCAACACGCTCAACGTAGCCTTTGACCTTACAAGGTGACGACACCTTGTCCGAGGAATTGCAGAATAGAACCTACAAGGATCCAGATGCGGTGGCCTCATCTGGGGGAAGGGGGCTAAATCGTATGTGTAAGCCCTACAACCGATCGAGATCCATCTTCGAACTTAATTTCGAGAAAACACCAACCTTTTGTCCGCCGAGGCCGAGGTGACTGTGGGTGGTGAATACCTTTAAAAGAAGTTTGGCAGACTGTGAATTTCCTGCTGATTGTGAAACAACGTTGATTCCACCGCTACGAAATTTTCAAAATACGAGGTATTGAAAACTTGCGATACTGAAGATTCAATATTTTAAAAATTCTGGATCCTGAATATTCGCGAATATCAAAATCCCACACTTAAAATCGGACTAGAATTGAAAATTCGAAAGTCTAATATTTAGAAAAAAATCTTAAAATGTTTTATCTGAAAAGACGTAATTTGACGTTCTGTTTGCGAGATTCGGTTTTTCAGATTCGATTTGCGACACGGATTCCACGAAGTTCTCGAGCTTCCTATATCTCGCACTCTCTCTCCCTCTCTCTCGCTTTCTCTCCCTCCCTCAACTGTCTCGCACTCTTTCCCTTCCTTTTCTCTCTATCTCACTCCCTCACTCTCTCTCGCTCTCTCTCACTCTCACTCTCTCTCGCTCTCTCGCTCGCGCCCTGTCCTCTCTCCTCGTGTTAGTATTTTGGTTCTTACCTCCCGCTGGTCCCGCGGGCCGAGGTGGCTGAGTGGCATACTGATATGGTGGAGGGTAAAAGATTTGCGGCTGTGGATATCCCTGAATTGATATCGCGTTACTTTTTGTGAGAAATTGTCCAGACGGTTCGGCCAAGCAATACCAGCCGCTGCCTTAGCCAGAAAATCTGATTCTCGGCTGTCATTCCACTCGGAATGCAATGAGCATATGTTCGCTTTAGGAAACTGGCGTGAGCTACGGTACCTGTGGCATTCCCGGATAGACAGGGTAGTTGGGGTAGTGCTGCGGGGGCGCCGGGTGATACATGCCAGTATTCGGATCAAAGTGGCCGGGTGCTGGATACAACGGGTACTGCTAAAAAGGTGTTTAATCTTGGGTTAATGTTGTAGCCACGGCAGAGTTTCCACACGGGACCATGCCCGACTGGCTCGGAATTTTACGCTGCTACTGTTTGGGGATTTAGCTTCTGTAAAACAATAAAATTCAGACGGAGCCTTCGGCGGTTTACTCATAAAAATTTGAAAATTATTAAAATGCAAAAGAAATATTGTGAGTTAAATACTTTTCGTGAATTTGAGCGATTGCAACGATTTTTTAGCGGTTCAAACTGCTCACAATCATTCAAGAACCCCAGCACGACGCTTGAACAGAAACTTACTACTACTACTCGTACTTCTGAAGGTAATTTTGAAAAAATTTGGGATAGGGGCTATTTAGAGGAGGAGGGGGCTATATTAGAGGAAATACGATGACTCTGAGTTTCAGATCAATAACACAAACCGGTGGATTGGCTGCAGGCATGGGGTAAGGATAGGGCGGTGGGTATCCGGGTTGATTGCCCGGAGGGACGTAGTATCCCTAAATTTAATTTTACTATTAGATTTGAGATGTGCTTTTGGTTCGGACTGTTAGCGGGGAAGTGGCTTATTAGCGGGGGAACAAAATGTTTCCCCGTGGTTCTCTACGGACCTATGGACATTTGGTCATAGGTAGGATATGGCTCCTCAAACTCGATGGAGAAAGTATCGGACCGGAATGATAGTTATACCATTCGAAAGCTGATTGCGAAAAGCAATGCAAAAAAAAACCGTTCTAAAATGTCGGGTTTCAATCAACATGGTTTTGAAGATTGTTGCAAACTGGCTTTCATGGGCTTTCGAATGGTTTAGCTATCAGTCCGATTCGCTACCCCTCCATCGAGTTAGAGGGGGTGTTTTTTATTGGGACCGCCGTACATTTTGATGGGATTTTACCAAGTTTTTAAATATCAAAACAAAGCAAATCAGAATCAAAAATTTCGTACATTTTTGACTTTTTGGTGAAGGATGTATGAAAAATGATCAAAAAGATCAAGATTTTCGAATTTCAAAGATTTTCAAATTATTCTGCTAACTTTCTAGCAACTACTATAACGCTATGAAAATACGTAAAATGTCATCATCAGGTAGGCATAGGTGAAAAAAACAGAACGTGGTTTGCCCCCCTGCTAATCCCCCCCCCCCCCCCCCCGCTAACAGTCCAGAACGGGGCTTACAGGCAGCACATTTTGTGCGGGCACTGGATAATGCTGGCCAACATTCGGGTCGATCGGCTGCTATAAATGAGTGGTTTCGAGGGCAATGGTGGTGCGACCAGTTGATTTGGGGCTGGGTAGGGAAGATTTGGTGGGTAAGGGAGAGGTGGATTATTTGGCGGCTGCTAAATACTCAATTGCATGAAAAATGTCATAGGATCCGGAGAGCCTGTTGGATGCCGGAAGGGCCCGGGCGAGCAGCTGGATTCAAAGGCTGGAGCTGGATGTTCGCTAGATCATCTGGCAGTTCAGGGTTTCGAGCCGGACGTCCACCTAAAACTCAACGTCTACAGGGTGTCCCAAAAAAAAACCCCCCTACCTAGCGGTCCGCGGTCAAGTCCGATTTTTATGATTTAACTACCAATCGAAAGCTCTCGAAAAGGCGAGAAAACAAGCGGGTTTCGTTTTCTAAGATTTAATCTGATTCTATCGATATTTCAGGTTTTCCTAAAAAACCGGGAATTTTTCATCAGGAATTTCGCAATTAGCATGCAGATCTCGCATAAATCAGCAGTTTTCATGGTTTTTGGACATAAAATTAGCAAATAAAAAGGCTTAATTAAGAAATTCAACCCTCCTTGTTTTCTCGCCTTTTCGAGAGCTTTCGATAGATACCTAAATCGTAAAAATCGGAATCGACAGCGGACCGCTAGGTAGGGGGGTTTTTTTTGGGACACCCTGTACAGACGGAATGGAGGGGGGGGGGGAACAACATCGGTATTTATAACAGCGATGCTGCTATTTGGCGTTTTTTATCGAAGAGAGCGTTCAAAATTATACTAATCGCTTTAATTTCAGCCCGAAAACCTTATTTACAACTGTTTTTAATTAAACTTTTTTAGCTTAATAAAGCAATATTTGTAGATAATGGCCATTCGGACCGAAATTAAATAGCTTAGCATAATTTTCGGCGCTTTGCCCGATGGAATTCATGAAGATCCCGAGAAAAAGGCAAAAATGTCAGAAACGATCGCGTCACCTCATGCGTATACTTCATTGCCAGCTCATATTTTATAATAAAAGAATAACTAATTTATATCGAGGTATTCCGGGTTGAAATTAATTTTTTGAGTATATTGTTTGAAGCTCTATCGAATGACATGCACAAATGCTCGATAAAAAATACCGAAAATCGGTGCATTGCCCCCGCCCGTTATCCCGCCTGATGACCGTACGAAATCCGTCAATCAGGTTAATTATTGCTAATTGTTAATATGTGCTAATTAAGGTTTTTCGGACTGAAGCTGCTGAAAAAGTGTTATTTCGCGAGCACCTCTACATTCCTTGGATGCGCAGGAATCCATTCGGCTACATGGTGCATGGTAAAGGTCAGAGTGGCGTCTGGTGCACCACCCGCAACCAACCAAAAACTTACCAATTTGCTGTATCGTATCGTCGTCGTCACTACTCACGTCACTATAGGTATCTATGAAACGGAAAATCTGCCCCATCACTGCCACTTACTTGGAACCTGCCCATAGGGTCGCTTCCGATCGTTCTGTTGCAAGGCCTTTAGTAGCCCGGCACAAGATAGTAGCACCAGCCATACCAAGGAGGTATATAGCCGCATGGTTGGGCAAAATGGGAAAGTTCGGTCAAGCGGGATTGTTGAGAACCGCCGTCGCGGGTGGAATTAAATATATTACAGAGCGTGGAATATCCCGATTCGATTACTATGACGAATTTCTGGGCGAGCCGGACTATATTCGGCCTATCTATACCGGATTAGCTCGCCAAAAATATAACTTGTATTGGTAATTATAGCTTGTGTTTGCGCTTCTGTTTTTACTATTATATTTTTTGCGAAAATCTTCTAATTTTTTTACAAATTTCTCTAGCTTTTTTCGTCCAACATTAAGGTCCAGCTGCTTTAGACATCAATCGATCAGTCAGTCAATCAGTCAATCGTACAATAGATGTGAAAATTGTTGTAAAGCTGCGATTTCGAAATTTTGTTCTAATGGGGTAACTACCATCCCGATCAGATCTTTATGCGTCGGGTTAGAGTGGTTTTTTTGGGCATTTTATTGGCATTCCTGTAGCATTTTTAAAATTATCTTGCTCTTGCTTTTGATAAAAATCATCAACCTTACTTTTCTATCAAAGCGCTTTGCTTAAAAACATCTGTCCCAACCATCACCTGCCCTAAAGGTCACATGCCCCAAAATCACCTGTCCGAAAGTCTGCCGGAACGATCGATAGCTGTGGCCAAAAAGCATTAACGAACCGGGTCTGGTAGCACTACCCCATTACCGATATCTACGTCATTTACTGCGTTTCTACGCTTCTACGCTATGGACGAGGCCACCGACATCAAAGTGGAATTTATTCCAAGCGGTCGAAAAGGATTCGGGGTAATTTCGATTTATTGATATCTATATGGCTTTAGAAAACGATGGTATTGAAGCAATATCAATATCAGCATCAACGTCGCTATCTCCCAGCCGGAGAAACCGAGTACAAGTTCTATTGGCGCTGCTGCAACCGCGATTGTCCGGTACGAGTGGCTACCCGTGAGGACGGGACGCTACTGAGCGCAGTTGCTGATCATGCGCATGAACCGCCGCTTCGCAGGGTAAGTATGAAAAACTACGCCGATTTACCCTCCTAGGTGGCGAGTGAGCGTCTCAAAGACACAATCCGAGAAGTGATCGCGGTGCTGCCCGGGATGTCGGCCACAAGTATCGTTTCGGCCTCACTCCTCGGCTTCCAAGATGGTGTTCCCCAACCTAGTGTCGTCGGACTCGAACAATTTGCGAGACGCGAAAAGCGGAAATTACGAAGACATGGAGAAAACGAACATCGCGCTCCACCAGCCAAATCTCTGGAAATTTCTCGATCATCTGATGAAGTTCACGGCCAAGCAGGAGAGGATCCTGGAGCTGGCGGCGCACGGGGGACCGCCGAGAAAACAGAAAAAAGAGAAATCACTGAAGTTTTGTTTGACCTATGATAAAAATTTTTTTCCTGATTATTTTAATGCCATTGCGACGACTCCGGGATTCTATGCAAATTCCACCAACAATAAGCTTTCTATCGCTTTACTGGGTTCTTGGTGAATAGAAATGCTAAAGAAGCTGACAGCCTATCACATTCATTCTTTCGCAACGTAAGGGTCAGGAGGTGCGTTGCGTATCGAGGTATCCGCGGCTCAATTTTTGTATGCGTGAATTGTTAATATCTTTAAATGTGCACGTTCACGCACCTAATTACGCCGATAGCGCACGTTAAAAAGAGAGACGTAGATGTAAATCAACATTATACGGAATATATCATAATTATACTTTGGTTTTAATAGTGAAAATCCAATTTTTCCTAATGCCGAAACCCCGGTCAGCCAAGAAAGCTTTCGGCATCGGCATTCCGTTGTCTTTGAACTTTTTATCAGCGACCTGCTGACCGTGTCTCATTAATTTATCCCCCACCCCCTTTTGCTCCCTACCAGGCGCCAGGACGGATTTCTCTGGACCCTCTGACTCTTTTTATCCCTAACCCGCCTCCCCCATCTCTGCTCTATGTTTTTTCTGCGGCCGGCGTCATTATTGACCTGCACAACCCGACACAACCCCGACCACATTACCCCAGGATATTTGTTGCGGTTTTGGAGCTTCGATTCTATGTGAAATCTACCTGAATCGATAATTGGAAAGCATTTTTGAAACTTGATTTTTATTACGGGAGGGAGGAAAGCGACCCATGCAATATGCCGCATCGAAAAATGTGAGTTTTCAACTTGTTGGGGTTGCTAATTTCATGGCGTAATCATTTGCATTTTCGTTTTTTAGCTTCCGAAAACAAAAATCGTCAAAAAATGTATTTGGTGACTGGTTTTATGGCGTAATCGTTTTGTTTTTCATCCCAACCAGGGTTGAAAAACCGCTTCGCGGCTTTTCAACCCTGGCCCCGTCTAGGACGCGTGAAAGTATTCAATTTGCATGCTTCTAGCATGAAAAAGTGAAAAGCGAGCGTTCTTCTCTTTTTTATAAGTCACCTGCACTTCCGGTATATGCCAATTGATTCCTAACAAAGAGGATGGCCCAGAATTTTAGAAAAAACCTAATTTTAATGTCGAAAAAGAACTTTTTCCAAAATATGATAAGTGTGCAGCCGTTCCCAGGGGATTACGCACCGAATGACGTATCAAACTCCCCTGTAACTCCCCTCCTTCTTGAGATACGCCTGGAACAACCTGACGGAAGTTGCATGCAAAGTGCCATACACACACACACACACACACACACACACACACACACACACACACACACACACACACACACACACACACACACACACACACACACACACAAACACTATTTTTTTATATATAGTAGGATGCATAAATTTTATTCTTCTAACCTCCGCAAACTTCAACAACCAATTCTATAAAATCAGACGGGCTTTTTGCCATTGAAAGTATTAAAAACAGGTCTTTGACGACATTATGATATGTTGTTAGAATTTTTATTGTTATTAAAATCGTTGTTTTTACTTTTCGGGTTAAAATTGAGGTGAAAAATCGATTAAAACCCTGAATTACACGCTTTTTTTAGCAAAAGAAGACGATCTCTGCCCTAGTGGCCGGCGCCATAGCCGGAGCAACAGCAAAAACCCTGGTTGCACCGCTGGAACGGTCTAAGATCTATTTTCAAGGTATTCACCTATTCATGGCTTGAAATTAACGCTTCTGCTTTAGTTTCCACCCACGAAAAATACTCGCTACGTGCTGTGCTTCAATATATCGGAACTACTTATCAAGACCATGGATTCAGGACGCTTTTTAAGTAAGGTTTTTTGAGAATACCTTACGATCAAAAATCCAGGGGTCATTCTGCTCAACTGCTACGTGTCATCCCATTTTCTGCCATACAATTCGCTTCGCATGAGAAATATTCCCAATGGTTAAAGGTCGACGTGGAGGAGTAAGGTTTTCACATTTTCTAGTCAAGATTTTATCATTATCCTTACAAAAATAGCCCTTTTTAAGCGTATTCTGCTTGTCAATCAGTTTCTACTCTAGTTTTTATACCTTAAAAGCTAAAAAAAACGAGGATTTCAGTGGTATTTTATTTTTTTAGACACACTCCTTGGCGTCGCCTACTCTCCGGCGCGCTTACCGGTCTAACGGCGTCATTTTGTACATATCCGCTTGATAGTGCTAGAGCTATCTTGGGTAAGTAGTCCTTGAGCTTTCATATAGGCCGAGAAAGCTTTAAATTTTGGATTTCTCAAACAAAAGGCAACATTTCAGCCGTATCCGACCCTCTGCACAAGCATACGCTGGCTTGGGTCTTCGCGGATGCATACCGAAATGGGCATTTGTTGAGGTTGTATAGGTACGTGAAAATTGTAGTATAAGAAATCACGAAAGGGCAAAGAAGAGAAAGGTTATTTAATCAATTACGAAAATATATTAATTACCATTCAGAGGCGTTCTCCCCACCCTCCTCGGCATGGCCCCATACGGCGGAATTGCGTTTTTCACCTTCGACTCGTTAACCTTATTCCACAAAGAACACACTGGCCGTCAGGTGAGGGGTCCCGATAATCAGGTTCCGTAAAATCCAAATTTGCGCGCAAAGGTAAACATGATGCCGCTATGGGTCGGAAAACAATTGTTGTGGTCTGTAAAGTTTATCGCAATTTTTTTGGGGATAGCTTAACCACCAGGGTTGGTCACGAAAAGAGCGGGAGCTGGGAGCGGGAGCTGATTTGCGAGAAAATTTTCAGCTCCCGCTCAGCTCCGGCTCTTGAGCCGGCTCGTTTCGAAAAGAGCTAGAGCCGAACCCCGCTCAACTCAAACAGGATCCTGCAAATCAGATATCCATGCAAATAAGGCAATGCACGGCCAAAAATACTCAATTTTTTTGAGAATTTTTGGGAGATTTGCATAAATAACTTATTTTCAAGTTCAGGTGGAGTAGAGCAGGATTCGGCTCCCGCTCTTTTCCAAAAGAGCCGGCTCAAGAGCTGGAGCTGAAAATTTTCAGCTCCCGCTCGGCTCCTGCTCCCGCTCAGCTCAGGCTCAGAGGCGGCTCGCAGAATGACCAACCCTGTTAACCACCCATTTTTAGATGAACAACCTCGAGAATTTCGCCGGAGGTGCTGTGGCGGGTGTGACAAGTCAGTTCTCTCGTTTTGATTCGAATACGTCATTTGTATCGCCACGGAATTTAACTAGTATGATCCCCCATTTTCAGGCCAAGCCATCACGTATCCGCTTGACATCGTTCGGCGAAGGATGCAAACGAGTAGATTACCACACCATTGTGGAGTTACCGAAGCTTTGCAGCTAATCTTGAGGAAGGAGGGATTTGTTAATGGATGGTATAAGGTAAGGATGTGGATGAAGCATTAATGCATAATCTAATAACTGCGAAGCAAAAAGTATAGTTAAGCTTCGTAAACTGGAATTTCAGGGCTTCTCGATGAACCTGTTCAAATCCCCCCTAACCAGCGGCATCTCCTTCATGACCTACCAAACGCTGCTGGCCAATTTTGTACGTAGAAGCGAGTGAATGATGCGGAGTCTACCATCAAATGTATTTAGATGTGTACTTATAGCTAGGATGCTTAATAGATGCTTTGATCTCGAAGTACTCTTCATGGTATTGTTTATTAAATGCATCGGATGGCTTGGTAAAATATCACGAAAAATATGGCCAATATTGACGCCATTTTTGGGGAACTGTTGCAATAATCGTTGAAGCAAGTGCACTGAAAATATTGAATTCAATTTAATGACAACATGAGCTGCGTAAGACTATACGGTAAGCTACGTTAAGCTACACTATGCTACGGTATGCTACACGACATTACGCTAAATTAAATTACTTTACTCTACGTTGCACCATGCTAAGCAGCGTTGATCCACGCGAAATTACGTTATGCCACGCGGGTTTACGCTAAGGTATGCTACGATACATCAAATTACGCTAATTAACTAGCTTTGCCCGATCTGGGGCTACGCGATACAACGTTGCGCTACGCGAAGTTAGGTTATGTTACGCTACGATACGTTGCATTACATAACGTGCCACTACGCAAACGTACGGAAAGTTACTTGACGCTACTTGGCATTCGGTGACGTTACGTTGCGCTTACGTTTTCTCGCCTTTTCCAAGATCTGTTTAATTTCTTAAACTCGTACCTTCACGACTCTATACCCAAAAAGACTGGACTGCTCGCACATGTCCACTCCGCCCATTGGTAATAGCGCACACCCTCGAACCATCATTGATATATGACGCTCCTCATCGTAGAAGTTGCCCACTAAATTTAATTATCAAAGAAAACCACAAGGCCAACTTCGATCCACACCGCCATTCAGCACCGCAATCTTGACACAGCCAAAAAGCCCATATCTGCACGATGACGAGGCCAGCTTACAATCCGTCCCCTGGAAAAAGCAAAAAGTTTCGACCACGGAAGGATTCGAACCTTCAATCTTCTGCTCCGTAGGCAGACGCGTTATCCATTGCGCCACGCGGCCAGTGGGGTGAGGGGGACTCACCTGGGAACTTGTGCACTCGAAGCAGGTGATGGCGGCTGACAGCTGGGCCATGGACGAGAGGAGTAATGCGATAAGTAGCATGCCGGAATTTGAAGGTAGGGCGTCGAATATTTGATCGATTTGAGCGTGTTTGAACGGAATCTAGACGGTAGAACTTCTAGCCTGGAAAAACCTTTTAAATTTAGGCAAAAAAATCTCGCCTAATGAGCCCTCAGAACGCATTCTGCGTCTAATTTTTCCTCAAAACAAACCCAAAATTGCGTAAAAATTCGCAATTACAGTACCCTCATAACCACAGAAAAAAGAAAGTGGCTTAATTTATTGATTTTACATAAGAGTTTCAAGAACTTCAGCGTGAAAACGATACCTTTACTGATAGGGAATAACAGCTGTATGTTTGTGACCCTAGGATCGCGGAAACAGGCCGGAAGAAATGCTAGTGTGATGAGTGGAGGATGCGGTCGCGAGTCATGGCTCGTCTCCGATTCGCATTCAACGCCTTGTTTGCCCGGTCCACCTTGTCCGCCACCTCCTCCACCCCCTCCAGCCCTCAGGCATTCAAGCCGAGTCTGACTCAGAAAAAGGGCTAGGCGCGGCCCGAAAATGGTTTTGGAACTGGGGAATAATTTTTGGTCGTAAATGACGAGGGCAAATTATTGGAGACCTGTCGGTTGTAAGACCAGGATCGGCATAACTGGGAGCTGAAGAGGTATCTAAAGACTTCAATAATAGTATCGCGTCAAAACCGACTAGATCTCGAAAAATCTCGAACAAAAAACTACCGACGACCGGAAAGTATGCCGTATGTAGAAATGAATTTTCTTGAAATGTCTTGATATCATTTTGTCGAAATTTCAATGCGCTAAATTCCAATTTTCTAAATGTATGAAATGGATGGTCGAGGAGCACATTTCGACAAACGGAAATTTTGACAATGAAAGGTTTCGACAGCATGACGGTCCAATAAAATGAAAATCAAACAAATTGTTCTATTAGCTTTAGCTATTAGCCCCGTTTTAGCTCTATCAAAAACAGCATTTCAGATTCTTTGGTTGGGTCTCTTTTCTTGGGGCTCTTTAATTTTTTACGCATTCGTTCCACATCCCTCGCGACCTGAAATGATTTTGAATCTACACTTTCGACGCAGCAAAAAGCGCTAAAAACCATGCCATGCCCGTCCTCAAACAACGGGTCATCATTCTATTCAGCACCTGCGGCTTATGGTCATTCAGGGTCCCATTTTCACTCCCCCCTCCCCATATACCCCGATCCCATTACCCCGGGGCGGTTACTGTTCGCAGCCCCCCCCCCCCCGCTCCGAGACCATTAGTTACCAAATTTCGCTCGAAACACCCTTCGCCTGGTATTCCTATTGTGTTCACCCCATCCCCGAGCCTGGGAAAACCAGGGTGGGCGGGCAGGGGTACGGTACCTTGTCTGCGTGGAGAGAGAGAGATAGAGATAGAGAGAGAGAGGGAGAGAGAGAGAGAGAGAGAGAGAGAGCGAGAGCGCCAGCCAGATTTCGATCTCAGCCTAATCCACATCATACACAAAATCCGACTGAATCATACTCAACTATGAAATGCCTGATACATCATCACCCCCCCTGCTGCTACAACCTTTTCATGCCCCTTTTTTGCCGCACTTTCCAGCTAATTCCGCGCGTGTACTCGTTACCAGCTCTCGTAGTCGAGGGGGGCGAAAGGTCGTCAATTCGGCAAGTTCTTTTCAGCTACGACTGCCCAAATTCGATTTCAGTTCTTTGAGAAGCGCGCCAATTACGGTGGTGTTTTTGGGAATTTAAGAGTGATTTTTGAGGGTTTCTCACCTCAGATATACTGTATTTTCGGTTAGTGCCTTTTTCGCATGTTTTTAGGAAATGGGCCAATGGAAAAGTTTTTCTTTTCCGGCGGCCTGCAAAAATTCCTTGAAGCACACCATTCTTTAAAACTGCATCTCCTATCCCTCTGCTTTCACAAAATTGCGTTGCGAATACACAAAATTCCGAAATTATTAAAAACGCCGCATTTAACTAAGATTTAGAATTTTTGGCCTGAAATTAGGGATTACCTAGGATTTACCTAAAAGAATCTCCGATTAGGGTTTGTTTCTTAACCTAAAGAACGATTTTATAATTTTTTTAGGTGTCTGAATATGTCTAGCTTTGGTCTAAGTCCCGCACCAAATTTTTTGGATTTTCAAGCACCAGCCTTGAAAATTTTCTCGGGCGAACGCCAGTTGCCGGTTGCCCTCAGCCGCCCTCAAAACCCTCGTTTGGTTGCCAATTTCGCGGAACCAGTTTCTTCCATTTTTTCAAAGCGTTACCGTGCCGATTCCCGGCGTCCGAGAAAGCACATGGCCCCGGTGAGGAGCAGCCACTTTTTGCTACTGCGCTTCTTTTTTAAAATGCTTTGACGGTCAGCCGAGTGGGGCTGAGCGTCAGCGGGGAGTGGCCGCCTGACGACAGCTCACGGTCATTTCTGGGGGGTTTCAGGACTTGGCCGTTTTTTCGAGGCGTAGAACTGTGACGAGGGGAGATGTTGGTGAGATTTATGGGTAAAGTGAAACGTATTAGGGCTATACAGGGTGCGGCAAAAGTATTGTCGCGAGCTTTTGCCTCATATCTGATTCGCGACAAGAAATCGGAAGTTTTGTCAACAGGGTTAGCTTCAGACAGGTCCAAGGCAGCAATCTGCTTTTGAAAGTTTCTTGGAATCATGATTTTTGAGCGAGTTTCATTGCATGATGTACACGACTAAAAATCACGGTGCGCCGCGCCCTCCGTTCGTCAAAATAGGGTTCTAAATTCGGAGACTAATTGTCACCATGACTTTTCATATGTGTTTCTGATAGCATTTGCTTTGTTCTCCGTCGTCCAAAATGGAAATCTTATAATTTTGTGATTTGAAGGACTTATGGCCTCAGCCATGTTTGACGCAAATGGGCCAATCTGGCCGCTTTCGCGAGAAGCTTGGGTTTTTTGGGTTTTTAGTTTCTGAAGGAGCTCTCAGGGGATGACGTAACATTATATTATTATGCTTGCTGTTTGCTGATTTTAATGTGCATGATGCGCTAAATCCTGATCGCTATCCACCTTTGATTTGAAAAAAAATTAGCTTGCAATTGCAAGCAGGCAAGAAAACGTATGTTTTCGAACCAGGTCAGGATTACTGGGCTCAAACTTCGGGAATATTTAAAAAGTAGCATGAATCAACCAGAGAAAAATTAGCAAGGCTATCATTGCTTTGCGGACGGCACAATCTCGCTTTTGCATACGGGGCGGCCATGTGCGGCGCACTGGGTTTGCCTCTTCTTTGAATAGGGCTCCCTCAAAAAAGGAGCCGCAACATTCTTTGGTTGATGGTATTTCAAGCAGAATTTTATCTGCTCTTTCAAATGAAATAAAAAGCTTGGCATAGATACCATTCTTTGGCCACCTAGAGAGCGTCTAAAAAAGCAGTTTTTAGGCTTGGATTTGCAGGATTTTTGGAAAAAGTTGTCCTGGCGACAAAAAAAAGTAAAAATTCTAGAAGAAAATCTTATCATCGGATAAAGCATTAATAACTGCGTAAAATAGATTTTTGGCTAGAATATCTGTCACATTTCCGCGCAGATACAGTCGGCGGAAAGTCGCGACAATACTTTTGCCGCACCCTGTACATGGCTTAAAACCACCGCGGTTTCAGCATGCAGTAGCGTGCAAAAAGACGGGAACACCCAGGCAGCAGTTATAATTTGTTTCGCTGGACAATTTTTTGCGCGAGATACACGGATACATAGGTCACGATTAGTACGGTAAATTTTGAAAACTTAAATTGTAAAAATGATACGCTTCTGCGGCCCGCTAAAGAGAGCCCAATGTTTTTAAAAAGCCCGATATGAGTCGCAAATCTGAATAAAAAACCGCAAAATCACCAGCACTTATTTGGCAGTCCCTTTAAAGGTTCCGACCGCTTAAACTCAGCTCTTTTTCTGCTCTGATTCTATAGTTTGGGCGCCAATCCATTTTCAAGCCCGTCCCCCCCCCCCGATCTTCAACCTTCACAGGGCCCGATAAATCTCCATTTTTGCCATTTCACCGTTCCCTTTTCACATTAGCAGCCAAGTGGCGTTTTTGCCTAAAGCCCCCGATCTCGGCCCGCATGCCAGGATGTCCCCTGAGTATTCGATCAGCGTTTTTGTCCCCAAACAGGTCAACACAAGCCGCGCAGGCAGCGCAGAGCCGTTTTGATCACAAGACCCCTGGCGGGATGCGCAAGGAAAACACCGTGTTCGGCTTCGGGGATGATCAGTAGGAAAAAAAGGGGGGGGGGCGAGAGTAGGGAAGGGCCATTCGTCAACGCTGCTCCTTCCTCCAATTCGGTGGATTTCGCCCGCATCCCCTGCCCCCTATTTTGTGCCCTTGCGCGCAGCGTACAGAGTGAGGTCAGCGCGGGGAAAATACAGTTGATAAAGCTGGCGAGTGCTGAAGCAGCTTGGAATCCGAACAAGAGGGTTTTAGGCAGATTCGGGGGGTCTTCTAACTTTAGTAAGGGTAGTCTCAAAGATCTTTGCTAGCCTATGGCGTACGTTAGCTGCCATTAAAGGGGCTACCAAATGCCAAAAATTGAGTGACGGCGCGAAAATCGGAGCCCTGTACGTCGAAGGCCTCGGTACGCCCAGGGGCCGGGAAGCTCGCAACACTCGAAATTGCCTGTTGTCACCTCGACATCACTATCTCGGCTGTTTCTGGGCCAAATTTGATGATTAAAACACCAAAACTATTTAAAATTGATTGAGGATTTCAAAAATGGGCTCAGAATGCCCGAATTATCGTGTTTTCACAAAGAAACCGGGCAAAAAACTTCGCGCAAAAATCGAAAGAGTGTGGCTCTTGTCCAGCAGCGCCCGCTGGCAATTTGCCAGAAATCAAAGTGGCCTCTCAAAAGGGCTTTGATTTGGCAGTTCGGAGCCCCTTTAATGTACAGATGCACCGAACACGCCGACGCGCGAAAGTCCCGGTGGCTATAATCCCAACAGCCAGGATCACTCAAAATCCCGACAGCTAAGGTCCGGGCAGCCTAAATCCCGACAGCGAAAAT